AGGTTTGCCATCCAAGATAATGACATTCCTGCAATTACAACTCTACAGCTCACCATGTTCTTTATCTGTGTAGCATGGAGCATCAGGAATTTCATTGTAATTTTGGATTTTTTTCTATGACTTATAACAGATCAATTTTAACATATTCTCGGATTGGGGGACGTGTAACAACACTTACTTTTTGCCAGGGTTCTCACTATTTGGCTATAGCTTCAGATAATGGGTCCATCCAACTTTTTGGGATTGAAGCTTCAAAACTCCCCAAATCACCTAAGATTCATCCAATACAAAACAGGTATGTGTAGTGTTTATGTACAGTTTTTATTTATTTCCTATTGATTATCTGCTATGCTTACTCCTAAAGTTAGCAGTAAGAATACAAGACGGGTTATTATGGATTTCACTACTCAGCATATTTCAGCAAGAGCTGTGGAGCTAACATTTTCGAGAGGATGTCTAGATTGGGGGAAACTGTAATAGGACTTTTGGGAGATATTTCATTTAAAATATATACAAATGTTAAAACTAAATTCCGGTACACGTATTAATGTTATTGTGCCTGGGGAAAAAATTAGTTACTTTACGCTTTAAGAGAATATATTGCTTTTGTCCAGTGACTTACTGAGGTTGCTTTTTCTGCTCATTTTCAGAATGAGCTAAACTAATATTTACTAAAGATAATAAATCCAGAATTAGAGCTACAAACTGTCTGCTACTCCAAAACTAGTAAGGTTAAAGACAAGTCCTTGTCCTTGCTTAAAGACAAATCACTAGGTGCATTTGAAGTTATGACAGATTCTTCCCTGAAATTACTTACAATCCTATTTCAAAGTTAAGTTTGCTGCAGTTTCCCCACAGTCATTCACCATTATGACCTGCCACAGGGATGCTGCATCCCTGTGGAAAGCAAAACAGGGTGTTTCAGGACATGTGGGGAGGCCTTGAGAAGTCCAAAACAGACAGGCTTGACTAGCACTAGGTCTCCCTCATCCCCAAGGTACCCTGTGCTCCACTTAATGATGCACACATTCATTTAACAACTGCGTTAGATAAAATAGGGTATGGAAGTCATCAAGCAATGTTGTCTTGCTTAACAATCATCACTATTTGTGACTATAATGGAAAGGCTTCATTACAATCATAGATCAAGGACTACCTATATTAATAAAAGCTGTAGGAAATATTTTTCAAGGGTGTTAACCATGATAAATTTCAATGAATAATGTCTAGTTCTTTTTATTTTATCTAGGTTTTTAGATCAAAAAGATGATGGCTGTGTGGTAGACATGCATCATTTCAATTCAGGAGCCCAGTCAGTGCTGGCATATGCCACTGTGAATGGTTCCTTAGTGGGATGGGATCTGAGATCCTGTAATAATGCCTGGACATTAAAACATGATTTACGCTTGGGACTTATAACCTCATTTGCTGTTGATATACATCAGTGCTGGCTCTGTATTGGTAAGTGTTGTTTTCTTTTAATGAAATAATTATATTATTAATGTGTAAATAAAATTGTTCTTTACCACATGTGCTGAGTGCAGATGATAACATGCAGATGATATAATGGCCAATTTAGATTGGTTCCTGGTAATTGAATTGATCTGGGTTCAACTCCCACTATTTCTAGTGCAAGAAATAATATTACAAGAGCAAATTAAATAAACAATCCTCATCTTACAACTGGTCATTTTACAACTGTCCAGAGTTATGACAGCCTTGGAAAAAGTGATTTACAGCCAGTAAAGCTGTCATAAAATGTCCACCATCACCACCTGTAATCACATGATTGCTTTTTGGGTGCTTGTCAGTCAGCTTACATTTATGACCGGTTATAATTGTTGACAGTGATTTTTGACATTCTTTACTATTTTGCTTCTCTCCAATAAAGAAAAACAATGATTTGGAATTACGACCACATAATTTGTTTAATAACTGCCATAAAAATGAGCATAAAAAATCACATCTGATCACATGGGTGCCTCAACTTAAACCACCATGATTAATGGCTGAAATTTCTATCCAAATTGTGATTGTAAGTCGAGGACTACTTGTAGTCTAAATTTCTTTGCAACTGACATAAACAGCTATACATAAATAATAAAAAGAAAATGTATCTTTAAAAATCATATGGACATCAGTGCTAGAAATTGGAAGACATTGCTTAAAATGCATTATGTTACTGATCTGTTTACATTTTTCTTTCAAGGTACAAGCAGTGGGACCATGGCATGTTGGGATATGAGATTTCAATTACCAATTTCCAGCCATTCCCATCCTTCTAGAGCACGGATCAGGCGGCTACTTATGCATCCTCTTTCCCAGTCATGGGTGATTGCAGGTACAGTTAATCATCTTTAAACATCCAAATGCTTTCAGATTTTATGATTACTTTAAGTTACTGGAATAGCATAACATAGCATAGCATAACATAAAATATAACACAGCATTACAGTATAGTACATTGCAATATAACATAACAACATAGACAAATTGCTGAGGATTATCATCCTCAGTCATGGGTTTACTGTATACAGAGAGCATTTATTTTAGATGAGACGGGCTGGAATTAGTTAGCTTACTTTATTGTCAATGCACCTCGTACGCGAAGTCAAACACCATCTTCAGTGCACATCATGACCATGACAATCAAAATAAACACAAACACACATCCTTCACCCTCCACACATTGAACCGAAAACCCCCGACACCACACCAATACTGCACTATACAGCAGAATTCAAAAGAGCTACTGCCCTGGGATAGAAGCTGTTTTTCAGCCTATTTGTCCTTGTTTTTATTATTCTGTACTGTCTGCCAGATGGTAATAGTTCAAAAAAAGGGTTCCCAGGATGAGATGGCTCTTTGAAAATGAAACTTTCTTAAGGCAGCAGAAGCTATAAAACTCTTTCAAAGAGGAGAGAGGGCAACCAATGATCTTCTGGGCAATGACGTTAACCCTCTGGAGTGCTTTCCTATCTGCCACTGTGTAATTGGCAAACCATACAGAGGTTCAGTAAGTTAAAATACTCTCTATGGTGTAGCGGTAGAAGATCAGCAGAAATTTTTCATTCAGTTGTTGTTTTCTGAGAAGTCTCCAGGTAGTATAATCTCTGCTGGGCCCTTTTGACCAGTGCTGCAATGTGAGCATCCCAGGTCAAGTCCTCTTTTATGGTAACACCCAGAAACTTAAAACGTGACACTTGCTCCACTTACTTTCCATTGATAAGCAAGAGCTGGATGTCTGATCTGTTCCTTCTATAGTCCACTATAAGCTCCTTGGTCTTATTGGTGTTGAGGACCAAGTTATTGTCTCCACACCATGAAAGCAACTGGTCCACCTCATCCTGATAGGCAGATTCACCCCCCACCCCCCCGGAGATGAGTCCCACCACTGTTATATCATCTGCAAATTTAACAATAGTATTCAGAATAGAATTCAGGTAAATGGCAAAAATTCTCCTTGAATCTGGGATCATAATAAGAAAAGAGGATTAATAGGAGGCATACTGCCTCACTAAACATCTATAAATGGCAACAGTAGAATGTAGGAAGGTAACAGAACAGGTGGCAATAGTGGAATGTAGGAAGAAACCAAAAATGTCAGTGGGTAATCAGGCCATGCTGTCAAATTATAACTGCTATTTGTTATTGTTAATATAGCTGTTCAAGGCAATAATGAAGTCTCCATGTGGGATATGGAAACAGGTGATCGACGCTTCACATTGTGGGCTAGCAGTGCTCCTCCTCTTTCAGAATTACAGGTTTGCTTCTGAACTTGGGGTAAAACATTTCATAGTGTAGATTACTGGTTTTAAAAGAGCTAGATCGATACTAATGCTTTTAATAATGAAGAAGCATATAAAACACATTCACCATTTCTTTCATTGGGTGCCTATGCATTTTCTGGTGTAATTCAAAATGCTCATGTTTACCTATAAAACCCAAATAGCTTGGGAGAAAAAGTACCATAAAGTGTGTAAAAAGAGTACCATCTAGTGTAAAAAAGATGATTTGAAATCATCTGGAGAAACTCTTTCAATATTGGTAATGCATTTTTAAAAATGTTAAATAATCAAATCTAAAATATGATTTTTAATTAACACATAATTAGGTGATGCTGCAAATGGGTATTTGCAATGAGTTAATCATGCAATACTATTTAAACTATTTTGAAAATCTTTCTTTCAATATTTTAACCCCAAGGCCTGTATGTTTAATACATGTTTCTGTCTATTAGCCTTCATCTCATAGTGTTCATGGAATATACTGTAGTCCAGCAGATGGAAATCCTATATTATTGACTGCAGGTTCAGACATGAAGATAAGGTAAATTATTCATTAAAGATAAGATAAATGCATAAATTGCAGGGGAAATTTAAAATCCATCTTACAAAGTACAGAGAAATGTCATCCAATATGAAGCAACGTTTTTATCCATTCCGCATCTCTGAATCTTTGTCACACTTGTTGTGAAAATTTTTATCCAATGTGGTAATTGTTAATATGTAACACAATACCTGATAAGAAGCTTTTAGCAGATGTACTTCAACATTAAATTGATTCAATTTAACTATTTCTGGGGATTCTGGTTTAAAGAGAGATTGCATGGATAATTGACAATTATGGTAGCCTGACAAATTAAAGAATAATTATACAGTCCCACCATTATCTTGCTCAGTCTGGCATTGCTGAAAAGTGGTGCAAGCATAGATTAAAATTTGAATTAAATGAACAATTCTATCATTCTTCATGGATTGTGTGCTTCTCAAATGCACTGACAAACATACGATTAATTTGTAACTACTTTCTAGTGACAAATATTCTTTCAACATTTTCCAAGTTCTCTGTACTCTGATAGTTTTTCATTGGCATATGTGTTTGTAGGATACACAAATGCATTTTATACAGCAACTGATATTGGTTGTCTGTATTTTACTCTTACTCTTCTTTAAATTGCTGTTCTGTAGCCAGGCTGGGAACATTTCCAGCTTTCGTTTTCCTTTTCAAGTTATGCCATTGTAAGGACCAGCCTTTTCCCCCCACCCCCTTCAAAATATAAGTATGAACCCTTGAAAACTTTGTATTTCAAAAGGAATCTTTTTATTAAAGAGGGGTAAAGCAGGTGAAAATTTAGAGACGAGTCTGGGGTCCCTCAGGGCATGCAACTAAGGTAAAGGGAATTAGAACCACTCCCTGCAGTTCAATGTGGATTCCACCAATCCTCAGGTGTGAACATGTTATTATCCCACTGTCTCTGAGAAAGCAGATAAGGAAAGGTTCCCAGGAGTTATCTTCTGGTGCTGCAATCCACATGGCCCCTTCCCTTACATTCCATGAAGAGGTGAGTTTTTTCCAGGCATCTGGGGCACCAGGCAACGGTTATAAATTGTGTAAAAGGTTATACAAAGCCAATGTAAGAAATAGGATATTTAGGATGCATAGAGAGGAAAAGAATTAAATGTATCAAATCCAACTCCCTCCCCCCCCCACTTTCTTCCATCGAAGAATGGCAGACACACAGATCTGACAGCCATGTTATATCTGTAAGCTTTCATATATTGAAAAAACTGAACATTAATTATTGTGGAATGAAAGAACAAAAATGGTGGCAATTTCATCTTAATCATTATTCTTGGAAGCATTAGACATATCTTCATATGACAGATATGGATGCAGTATTTCTCTATCTGCTTAAAATAATATTTTCATGAAAAACCATATCTTTATCAGTTGACTATACCTTCACTAATTAGCCAGTTTTTATCTAGTTCTTTGTAGTATTTTTAAAAATCAGTTTTTAAAGTTATATTTGCAAAATAAACAAAAAAACAATATGTTTCTTTTGAAACAGATTTACATATTTTGGTAATTTAAAAAAGTGTAAAGCTGGGTAATAATAAGAGTCTCAGAGAGGGATAGAAATAATTATTGAGCATGATGCACCAACCTTATTTGATTATTTAATTTTTTGAACATATATTTTGCTTTTGAGTAAACATGGTTAGGATTGAACTGCTGGTCTTGGAAATATATGCATAATTAAATATCATTCACAATGTACATTCTTTTAAATACTGGGATTTGATTACTAGTAACAGTTAAACATGAAGTAATAAGTAGATACTAGATACAGAACTTAACAGCTTATTCAAATTATTGCTTTTGAGGTGTTTTTTGTTTTTCTTTCGTTTGTTTGTTTGTTTACTGCAGATTCTGGGACTTAGCTTACCCTGAGAGATCATATATTGTTGCTGGAAGTTCTAGCTCTGCATCAGTATCATATTATAGAAAGATAATTGAAGGCACAGAAGTTGTTCAGGTACATTAGTTATGGTTTTTACCCAACTCATCCAATTTCTACACATTGCTAAATTTATTTGTAAGATTCATTTAATTTCTCTAGCATAGAACTTAAAAGGTGCTTCCAGATGGAGTACTCACTATCCCCAATTCTCACATTCACCACCATGCTCAAGCAACTTCATGCTTTATTCAGCCTTCAAAGTCTTAATTTCAGCATGTTTTTGTAGTTAGAAAATCCCTTGGCCAGAAATCATATCCATTCATTCATCACATCCATATCATGTCATGATATTTTAAATTAAATAGCTGCCACTTCAGCAGGCCAAAAAAAGTCCTATATTACATTGTTAGCTGTAACTCTCTCTTCTCATGAAAGTTAATGGTGTTTTTGCATCAGCCACTTTTCTTGAATATAACTATTTAGTGAGGCTACTGTATTGAGGGATGGGAGAGGTATTCATATTATCCCAGATTGGTGGTGAGAAAGCTGGGTATAAAATGCTATAAAGGTAGTTTATTTAAGAAAATGTATATGACTGCCCAACTCACAGTCAGTGATTCTGAGTGGCTTACAAGCATAACATCTCAATAAAAAAAATTATAAAATCAATAATCTGCCATGCCCCAAGCAACAATAACCAAACAAGCCACTTGATGGGCTACATATCATTCTGGAATCCTCAGGCAGATTGGCAGAACCACATTTTCAGGGCCTTGCAAAAGAGTGTCAAAGTGGAGAACATCTTTGTAAAAATGATATTCCACAGGGAAGAAGCTAGAATGGAGAAGGCCCTTCTTTTGGTCCTACCAGATAGGTGTTCTTAAGAGAGGGGACCTGAAGAATTCCCTGCCTCCCCACTCTGTTATTTCAAACACATCTAATTGGGAAAATGTGGTCATTCAAATAATCTGATCCCAAGCCATGATGGACTTTAAAGATGACAACCAACACCTTGAATTAAATTAAAAAGAATTTAATAATTGTAAATTTTACTTTACAATAAAGTAATGTTGCAATGTTTTGATAGAGCATCTCATTAAAGCATTAGCATATGTGCTTTTTTAAAAAAAAAGGCAATTAATTAATTATCCTGTAATAATGGAATAGAATATTTGTAGATCAGAGTTGAACTGTGCTGTCCTTTGTTCTCTCTGAGCTTGTTTGTCTTCTTGCAGACATTTCATTACATACTTTAGCTGCTTTTATCAACAGCTAAACTCAGAGAGCATCAAGGACTTCAGCAAATGTATAACAAATAAACACATTTAGTGGTAAAGGATATGAAACAAATTTCCTAGTTTTAAAATAGAGAATTAACAAACTGATTTAATATGGGAAATCTTATGCTAAAACAACAGTTTTTATAGTTTGGCGCTTCTATTTCATGGTTTTCTGTCATCAGGAAATTCAAAATAAGCACAAGATGGGACCTACAGATGAAACCCCTCGAAGGGGTCCTGAATCTTTACCAGTTGGTCACCATGACATCATCACAGACATTGCTACTTTCCAGACAACTCAAGGATTTATAGTTACTGCATCACGAGATGGTATTGTCAAAGTGTGGAAGTAACGTTTACACTGATTTATGTATGTAAATAATTGTAATAAGGAATTAGCATAGGATTAGTTTTCTTTGAATAATTGTTTCTATAGCACAGGGGACAATGGTGTTCATGAAAGTAACTAGTGACTCTCTTGTCAACAGTGATCACTAATACTAGTAGCCCTCTTGGAACCTGCCATTATATTTACATAGAATGATTCATGTAGCATTTTATCAAACTGCCAAACAAAGGAAATTGAAGTGAAGAAATTGTATTTAACTTTTTAACCATCCTATTCTTTGAAAGACTTTAGAAATTTGTTTATAAACATGAAAAAATGCATTAAGCTACATCAACAATATTTATGTAAGCTGACTTTTTTCAACAAAGCCAAGTAAGAGAGTGTTAACACAAAATTATTGCACTTTTGTTTCTGTATATTCAAACTCTGTATGTGTAATGTTGAAAATAAAGTGTTCGGATCACTTTTCTGTGTCAAAATAAAGTTTAATATGAATACTGTTCTATAGCCAAGTATGAGAATATGAATGAAAGTATCAGTTGTAAACTCTATTCGGGTTTTTTTTTTTTTTTTTGCACATTGCACCATATTTCTTTTATATAAACATTACAAAATTTATATGGCCTTTCAAGTCAGTGACTCTGGGCATCTTACAGATAATACAATATAAAATACAAAACAGCAGTAACACCTCACCCACCCAGACAAGAACAGTCAATCAAATAAGTTATTTGATGGGCTTACCATCTCACTCTGCATTCTTATTGCAAAAGCAGGTGTTCAGGGACTTGTGAAAGAGTCTCAAACTGGGGGGGCAGTCTTATATCTGCAGCAATGATATCCCATAGGGAGGGAGCAACAGTGAAGAATGCCCTCCTCCTTGATTCCACTAGATGTACTTTTTAAGAGATGGGACACGTAGAATTCCCCATCTTCACATTCTGGTGGGTTTGGTAGATATGACTGGGAAAAGACAATCCTTCAAATAACCTAGTCCCATGCCATATAGGGCTTTAAAGATAACCAGCATCATGAATTTTGGAGCTGGATGCAGCCAGTGCAGCTCCCACAAGATAAATGACACGTGCATCTAGACCAGCATAAAAACATGTGGGTCACTGCATTTTGTATTTGAGCCATGGTGGCGCAGTGGTTAGAGTTCAGTACTGTAGACTACTACTGCTGACTGCCAGTTGCCTGTAATTTGGCAGTTCAAATGCAGTATGTTTTAGACCATATGTGTTCAAACTTAAAACAGGCATATAGAGCAATTCCCTTCCCCCACCTGGGCATGTCTGCTGCTGTGCCGCCTTAGTAAAAGAATACAGCCAGTCATGAAAACAGTCAAAATCTGGCCAAAAGGAGCACTCACCCAGTTGCAGGATTGCTTTGAAACCACTGAGTGGAGTATATTTGAAAATCTACTGGTAGAACTGCATGAATACACTGACACTATACTTTCATATATTAAAACATGCACAGATAATTTAACAGTGGATAAGTCATCAGAGTCTATGGGAATTGCAAACCCTGGATGTCAGCAGAGGTACAGATACTTCTGAGAGCCCGAAATTCCGCCTTCAAGGCAGGTGACAGAGATAAATATAGAGGCCAGGGCAAATCTAAGGAGACGTATTAAGGCAGCTAAACAAATATAAAATGTGGAGAACCATCTAGCAGACAATGACCTGAAGCAGGTTTGGCAGGGACTGCAGCACCTAACCAACTACAAGGGCAACACAATGAAGAGAGTCAATACTGATGCCTCGGTGGAGGAGTTGAATATTTTTGCCCGCTACAAGGTCAAAAGACCTGACCCTGTACCCCCAACCCACTGGCCCTCCAACTTCCAGCTATTCACCCTGCATGAACACTAAGTGAGAGCTGTATTGACTGTGAGCAGAGAGTGTTGGTCCAGGAAAGGGCATAACTGGTGAACAATCCACATTTGCATTAAGGCCTTCCTGGTCATGACTGCCACCTGCTCCATGAACTGGAATTGTAAACCTAGAGCTCCCCAGTTTATGCACTTAACTCACCATGGTTCAAAACATAACTGAATGTCATCAGCATATTGATGATATCTCAGCCCATGGTGGCAGATGATCTCACCCAGGGAATTCATGTAGATCAGAGGTGACAAACTCAATTTCATTGAGGGCCGCATCAGGTTTGTGATTGACCTTGGCCAGCAGGATGTCACCATGTCAGGGAGCGCCTGTGGTGGCCCGAGTGCTCTGCCAGCAAAAATGGGCTTCCGAGCTCCATTTTCAGCTGGGATGGATACCTGCAACCCTCTGCCAGTGAAAATGGAGTTCAGGAGGGCTACATGTGACCCTTGTGAGCTCCATTTTCTCTGGCAGAGGCACTGTGGGCCGGTCCTTTGCCATTTCCAGGGCAGTCCCACAGGCCAGATCTAAGCATCCCATGGGCCAGATCTCCCCAGGCCTTGAGTTTGATACCCCTGATGTAGATGTTAAACAGAAGCAGAAAAAGTACCAAGCCCTGCAGGACCCACATAGCAAAAAATAAGGACAAGGCTTTTGCTTCCTATCAACACTGAAAGCAATCACAGAGGAAGGAAGTGAACCAGGGAAATAGAACTCCCCCACTCCCAATTCCTAAAATCCCTCCAGAAGCATACCATGATTGATAGTATAAAAAGCCACTAAAAAATTAAGTAGAGTGAGGATAGATACACTACCACCATCCTGCTCACACCAAAATTCATTTAAAAATGCGACCAATGCTGTTTCTGATCCATATCCAAGCCTGACTCCTGAATATAAAGGATCTAGATAATTAACTTCATCCAGGGACCTCTCAAAGCCACCTCAACAATTTTCTCCAAAAAGGGAAGGTAGGACACGGGATAAAAATGCATAATATGATGGAATCTAGCAATGGCTTCTTAAGAAGGTGAACCTGCTTCAGATGCCTCCACTAGACCAGCAACCATACCAGCATCTAACTGGAAACAAATCCAAACATTTTTGCTTTCTAGATAAACCAGCAAATTCTGCAGCATGCCACTTCAGATAGACCTCTGTATTCTCCTTCCCCAGGAGAGATGGCTCACCTTAAAGGGGATTGCTGGCCAATTATATAGAATAGAATAGAATAGAATAGAATAGAATAGAATAGAATAGAATAGAAGGAACCTTGGAGGTCTTCTAGTCCAACCCCCTGATCAAGCAGGAGAATCTATACAAGTGACTGTCCAGTCTCTTCCTAAAAACCTCCAGTAATGGAGCACCCACAATTTATGAAGGTAAGCCGCTCCCCTGGTTAATCGTTGTTCCCTGGTTAATTGCCCCTTATTGTTAGGAAGATTTTTTTTTCTTAATTCCAGGTTGCCTTTCTCTTTGATCAATTTCCAACCATTATTTCTTGTCCTGCCCTCTGTTGCTTTGGATAATAATTTGACTCCCTTTTCTTTATGGCAGCTTCTCACTGAAATGCTACTATCATGTCATCCCTAATTCTTCTTTTCTTTAGACTAGCCAGATCCAAAACCTGCAGCTGTTCTTCATGTGGTTTAGTCTCCAGGCCTCTTCTCTTGAACTTTTTCCAAGGTCTCAACAACTTTTTTGTAGTATGGTGACCAAAATTGGTTGCAGTAATCTAGGTGTGGTATTATTAGGGATTTGTAAAGAGACACTAATACTTCACGTGATCTTGATTCTATGCCTCTGTTTATACAACCCAGGATTGTATTAGCTTTTTTGGCTGCTGCTGCACGCTGCTGGCTCATATTCAAATGATCTCTACTAGGACTCCAAGGTTTCTCTCACAGTTATGTTTTTGAGCCAGGTCTCACCTAATCTGTTCTTACACCTTTGATTTTTCTTGCCTAAATGTAAAGTTTTGCTTTTCTCCACATTAAAATTCATTTTGTTGGATTGGGCCCATTATTCAAGTTTGTCAAGATCTTTTTGTACCCTGAGTTTGTCTTCTGGGCTTTTACTTAGGCTTTGCTACCCAAATTGCCACCAACTAGCCTTTAGTAGCAGCTATTACCCATATTCGATTGAGTTCATCTCTTGTCAGCACTCTAATCGTCTCTATCCATTTTATCCCTGTCAATTTCCCTATATACCATGCACAAGGTTATGAGTTAGAAGAGGTTATGAGTTAGAAGAGGTTGTATAGGCACAATCCTATCCAGAGCTCCTTCACCTCTTATTCCAAGCATTGACTAGAAGCTCAACAGAGCTATACAGCAGATCTGCAATTATAACCTCCAGTTTCTTCTGAAACCCATCAGGGTCCATTGTATCCACCTATTGGTCCCACCTCTCTGTGGGGAGGTACAACTCTGGATAGGTTGTGTCCATCTATACCAAGCTGACCATGACAGGGAGACCAAAGATTAATTCCAAGTCCCACAGGCAGTGCTCTAAGAAAACACCATGTCAGATGTGTGATCACAAGTACTAATCAGGCTTGGATAATCTGGGACAGGCCCATGGAATTAATGCTTTCCATGAAATCCTGAGTTACCGCCAACCTCACCTCCAGGGGTGACAGGTTGAAATTTCCCAGAATTATTAGCACAAGGAACTCAATTGCCAGATCTGCTGGACCTGGGGTGAGGTCCAAGAGCCTGGAATGGAAAGCTTCCAGGTAGAAGTGAGGTACAAGTGAGCTCCTAGGTACAACAACAGCAATCTCACATGATCCCTTGAACCCAATTTAAGAAAAAGGGTCACATAGCTGCCCATTTATGGAGTTATGCCTCTGGAGATTGTCAGATATTCTCTGATGACAATAGTGTTAGGGATATACACCCTAGCAGAACGTGCAACGGTAGTCAGGCAGGCAGGCGGATATGTGAGACAAACATTGTTGTAGTTTACACTCAGTAAAACAGATACAATGTGCTAGTTAAATAGTTTATTCCAGTAAGATTTATAGCATAGTCAAACAGTCCATATATCATACACTAAGTTCAGTCCATCCGGGGATTATTTATTAGCAAAGTCCAGTGTCGAAAAAGAGGTCAGTAAACTCACAAATAATCAGTCCAGTAATATATCTCTTTTTGCAGTAGAGATATGAAGAAAATCAAACCTCTTTTCTTCGTTCAGCAATAGCAGGGAAAACACGCAGTTATCACCATCAATCCATCATTGTCAGCAATCCAGTAAAAGCCAGCAAACAGTGAGCTCTCTTGCTCCCTCTTATGGTGATTTTACAACCGCACCCAAAATACATGTTTTACAGTTAAAGTGATACACACACTTAAACTCACTAACATAGTTTATATATATTATTTTACCCAAACTAAGTTAGGTAACCAATGTTATTCCTAACATTCTCCCCTTTTGGGTAATATAATAACATATATATCTATTTACAACTTTAACCCATAGTTTTCACAACTTTCCTTGTGCTTTACTGCACCTTGGGCTTTTGTAAAGTGATCAGCAAAATTTTCTTCAGTCATGCAATATTCCAGACTT